CAGACTTTCCACTAAGGGAAACTTTTGAGTACTCGAGCACTTGCAATAGCTGGATGATAAAAAATATCTAAGTCTAAGTCATCATGAATTGAAGAAATACTGACATATAGAAGACTTGGAAACGAGTAGAGCTAGCAATTTTCAAGCAATTAATCTGGCTTGAATTTAAACCACAATCAGATGTAATCCATTTTAAAAGTCCTGAACTTCTCAAGTTTTTTGCATGGTCATTACTTGTTTTTTTTTCTTATTTTGACGGCGCGGCAAGAAAAAACCAAAAACGAACTCGTATGGACACAAGAGTATTAGGCTAATCCACAATAAAACAATTGGAGTCTTATTGATAAAAAAAATTACTAAAAATTTACGACGAAAGGTATAGATTCTACTAAAGTCGCATTTAAGGAACAATCTCAGCCGCGGAAGTTACTGCGGCGCGCCACCAGGCTCACCCGGCAAAGAAGGTCCCAGTTGGTCATACAAAAGAAGGTTTTTTTGTCAGTTTTGGCTCAAATTTTTTTTTTCAAGATTTTGAATTGGCTTCGTCATGCTCAACATTCTGGTGACAACTGAAACAAAAATTCAAATACTCAGAACAGCCGATTTTACAATTGCGGAAAAGTTGATAGAAAATCAGTCAAGAGTCAATGGATTTGACAATGGATTTGACAAAAAAAAAGAATTCCTTCTCCATATCTTCATCATTTCTAAAGATTTGTTTCTGAATTTTGCTGCATATTCGCTGCATTCGTCTGAAAAGTAAACATCGATGGAAAGCTAAATTAAACTATATAACAACTGACCGGAGTCAAGATAGTCTTACGTGTTTTCAACCGTCTTTTTCAGCGCCGATTCAAATTGGTTTTTTCTAAACTTGAGTCAACAAACATGTTACCATTTAATCGCTATTGGCTGCACTACACTGTTTTACTGGTTAACTGCAAAATCAGTGAGATCATGGCTGGGTACAGTGTCACCAGACCACATGGTCACTCCTAAAACAGGGTTACTTCGTTATATTCGTATTTCTATTGTTTTTGTTCATTTAGAGAAAAACTCTATCCATCGAAGATGGATCGACCCTTTCCTTACTCCCAGTAAAAAGTGGTCAAAAATTGTGTGGGGAAATTTTGAAACCACAACTGCACCACTAAAACCGTTCAATTCATTTAGTCATAAACGGAAAAGAAAAGCAGCATCATTTATAAGTTTCTCTCTTTGACTTTGAATGAAAAATGAAGCATTCTGGGGGCTGAAAGTTTGGTTAAAAAACTTGCAAAATAATCTAAGGAGCGCTGGTGGGGTTCCAAGCAATTTTTCTTTTCAGAAAAACTAGTTCCAAACTAGTTTTAGTTCAACTCATCCGGTTGGTTTAAATCAGCACAAAAGAATTTCGTTAGACAAAATAACCTGAAATTTCAATAATTTGCAGAAACATGCGGGAGCATAAAAACCCAACCTAATAAATGATATCAACAAATTTCTGCAACTGGGAAAAAAGTGCTTCAATAACCTATATATTAGTGGAAAGAAAGAGAGAGAGAGAGAGAGAGAGAGAGAGAGAATTCATAGAAACCTGTGTTCTGAAATCAACCGGTAATAGTTTGTTTTTCTTGGTTACCGGACGCAAAACATACCACTTTGTGTTGCATAGCAATGAATAGAACAAAGTGAAAAAATACGGAAAATATCATTATGTTTTTTTTTGTCGACAAAACTTTTTCATCAACAAAAAAGCATTCGAAGAATTCAGGGCTTCAAATCGTTCATTGATACGGGTTCTCTTGTTCCGACTTTGGAAGAAAAATGTTTGTGCTTGATGAAGTTTTTTCCTCAGACAGATATTGAACTATGTCTCTTTGTAGAAAAATGGCTTTGAAAAAGGGCAATTCAAAGCGTCATTTTCTATTTTTGCCGTCCGAGGCATTCGAGTCTATTTTCAGGTCAGGTAGAGACAGATAAGGCATGAGTCTGATATTGGTAACATAGAGACAGTTGACCTCCTTCGGCTGTTTGAAATTGTCCATGCTGCTGGTCAAGTGCCGGCCTCTCAGCTGATTGTACTCTAGATGCGCGAAAGAAATAAGAAAAAGAGTACCAGAAATAACTTTGTGGAAAAGCTAAAACAAACTGAAAATGCAACTGGTAATGTTCAAAGATAGGAAACAATGTTTGTGCTCGGGGTTTTCAGACACAGTTCGACTTGTTAACTGGCCGTTTCTAACGGGATATTTCACAGTTTGAAAATCATTTTTACCCGCAAACATTTTCTGTCAAGTTGCGAGGTTTTGAAATCGACCGATTGGGACAATAAATGAGCGACACTTTTCCTGCTATTAATGCGTACGCGGCGATATAATCCGACTCAAAAACCTCTTTGAAATCTCAGTGCTCAAATTTTAAATCAAACTATGCCCTCTTTATTATTATAAAAATTCTGCATTTTATTTGTTGAGCGTCTAAGAACAATGTAAATCCACTTACAAATTGCGGATTGCAGAACCTAATGTTTTTTTAGGAATACGCAAGTTAACTTGTCGTTGATTCCGCTATATCCTCCACGTGCCGACGAATATAAAATTATGAGGTATTTACGGGACAACTTCGCGACCATTTAGGTCAGTGGAGTCGAGTCCACGGTTTTATTTTTAATTTTTGTAAAGTCATTTCTCCAGATTGCTTTAACATACGATACGGCATACACTCACAAAATTCTGCTTCTTAAACATTTATCACTTTGGCATGATAATTAAGTTAGAAAACCAAGCAAGGATAGCCGATTGCTGGCCAAGCTCACCGAATATTCCGACCAGAGTAATTTGATTAGAAAGTTCAAAAATAAAGGTACACTTTTTTATTAGAGCACTTTGAATGAATTTTTGTCTTTTCACAAACTTAAATTTTGAGAAAGAATTGACTGAACTAGGTGCATAAATGGCGAGAAAGAGAAATTATAATAGCCAAAGTAATGATCAACTTGTAGTAGAATCAAATTGAACCTCTCGGCCTCGAGAGGTTCTTATAAATGTTCCGACTATTTCATCAAATTGGGAGGAACTTTGTTTTCAGGTATTTTCGTTTTTTTTCCACGCAAAATCAGGTACCACAAATGATTATCGAATTGGGTCGAATTATATATCATATTAAAACGCTTTCAATCGTAATTTGAACAGCATTAAAAATTTTCAAAAAAATTTTTCAGTGTAGAGAAAAACCGGTTTGAAATTTTTGGTTTTTGGTCTAATTTCGAACTAATATGGTGTGAGCGTGAAAGCTTAAAATAGCTTATTTAAAATAACTTTAAGCCGTGAAAACTCAGTTGTACTGAAAGAAAAGTAGTTTTTGGAGTTTTAGTTTTTTGAAAGTAGAAGTAAAATTCCATGGTCTAAAATTTCATAGTCGACAAGCATTTTTGAGCAGAGCGAAAAATTGCAGCATACCCAATTTCGGTCGAGAGACACAAAACACACCCAGTTTCGGTCGAGAGAGTCGAAACCTACCCAGTTCTGGTCGAGAAAGTCGAAAGAAGTAGAGCACAGTCGAAACAAACCTGATTTTGGTCGAGAAAGTTGAAGTATAGGTCGAGCGTAGTCGAATCATAGGAGTTCAAGCACAAACTAATTTTTTGTCAATGTTTGAATTTTTTCCTGGATTTCAGTTAAAATTGAATAGGAAATTGAGCAAAAAAAATAAAAGGCCTTAGTCAAAAAATTGCAACCCACAACAATCAATTGAGGAGATTTGCTTGCCGCAAAACTAAAAGTTTCGGAGGAAACCCTTTAAGTTTTGGAAATCAAAGGGTTCCTGTGGCAAAAAAGTACCATCTACCAAAAAAGTCATATATCAGTTTTCAGACCAACAATCTCAGTCAACATTTGTTCAGAAAACGAAAACAAAAATGAGAGATTCAATTTGAAAAAAAAAATTTGGTGGAGAAAATATGCATTTCACAGATTATTAGAAGGTCGAACTATACGTCAAGGACAGTCGAAGCATAATAGATAGACACACGAAATTATGAATTTTCAGCTCCAAAATTTGAAGTAAAAACTTAAACCAGATGTTTTTTCACTGAGAGACTAATAGAACCTTTTGAACATTTTTTGGGAAAACCACCGCCAACAATGAGGCGAGAAAATTTTTTTGTTTGTCGCGAAAATTGCGACAGCCGAAATGCACCCTTTTTTGGTCGAGAAAATCGAAAGATGTCAAAAATTGGTCGAGAAAGTCGAAATATACTGAAGTTTGGTCGATACAGTCAAAACATACCAGTTGTTCGTCCAGAAAGTCGCAACATAAATCGAGTACCACGACCTGGGCACTCTTCAAGACTGATTGGAACAAAAAAGTTTATTGCACTGCCTGTTCTTATCGTTCCGATTTTCGAAGGAAGTGAGGAATATATATGCATGTGGTAAGGGCTTTCTACAGTCAGACCAATTCTATAAAGAAAGTTTTGTGAACTTGTGGATCGATCCGGAGTTTGTTAAATACGAAGCGAGTGTGAGTGTCACTAGCCTAAATGATGTTGGATTTGCTCGATTAGTTTTTTTTAGTTTCAATGTGCGTAATAATCTCGAGCTCATAATTGTCATCTTAAATCGACTAAAGTGTAATCACTTAAATTTAATATTGGCAGTCCTAAATCAGTAGTTTATTTAAAAAAAATAAATGTAAGTTATTCAAGACCAGTTAACTGCAGTCGGAACATTCAGGGCTCTGCCCTTTTAAACGAGCAGTCGGCCCATGTGAACAATCTTCTCCCTTAATAGATCAAGTGAACAATCTGCCCCCTAAAATTAAATGACAAATTCTAGACGTAAGGCCTGCTTACTATGCTCAAAAATGATTGGCTGAAAAATATGCTTTCAGCCAAGTGAACTTTCTCCTCCCTAAATTATTTTAATGGGGGAGATTGTTCACTTGGTCCGAGCAGTCTTGTTTCTGTTACATCGCCCTTTCTGTCAAAACAACTGTCCTGTAAAAAGATGAATGAGAAATAGAGAAATTAAAAATAAATTTTAAAGGAGTTGTAGAATTGATTTATTCCAATATGAACTTCAGTGAACTTCAGAAAACCCCAGCAGCAGAATTTACAGAAGGATTTTATTTTCTTTTTGAAGCAGAGAAACATATCTACAATTCACATGTTTCCACTAATTCACCAACATGAATAAGTATTCTATTTTCTTCATTTGACTATTTAGAATCATAAAAATCAAACTTGATTTATATGAATTGTTTTTTTTTGTGGAAAGTTTGTCAAACCAATGCCAGGATTCTCGGCACGAAAAACTTGCTTAGAAATGAAAAAGTGTAACAGCCTTCAACGCTTATACAAGTATCACTATAATCAAGTGGAAACACGTTTGTATTATGAACAATTCTGACCAAGTTTGCCACTTTAATTATATACAAATTAAAATTTATCAAGGCTTAATTGTCCGGTTGGGGCTGAGGTCCTTTTTATTAGTTTTCAGCGGTAGTTTTCCGTCACTGTGGTTGCGCGATCTCGCGTCGCTTGTGGGGACGTCCAGTCTGTTTCCTCGCGTGGTCGTCCTATTTTCTAGTTGTGTTGACATTTCAGTTTCCCCTGCACTTTTTCGACCATATTTTCCTCCCAGTGATGCCGACATTTTGCCTCTTAAGTTTATTTTTGGATCTGATTTCCAGTTTGAATTCTTTTTGCTGCTTGAAACTGAGCTAACTTTGTTTGTGACATTTTCCGGGCCTTCTGCATTGCTGGTTTCCGCGCTTGCGCTTGTCACGACCAATGAAAAAGCACGAGTTGATATATTTCCGTTCTGGACCTTGTCGGCAGTCGAACCCAGGTTCGATAATCTGGACGAGGAGCCTGAAGTCTGGGGAGTTTCTTCATTCGAGAGTTCGTCTCCCGAACAGTCGTTTGCCCATGCGCTCATGAGTTCCAGAACATTACTTTGCTGTCTTAGGTTGCCAATCCAGTCAGTTCCACTTACAAAAGGGTGGTCCAGAACTTCACCGGCGCTGTAGCGGTGAGTTGGCATAGGGTGTAACATTTTACCGAGGAGGTGTTTAGCCGACTCTGAAACCGTGTTCCAGAACTTTGCCGAAGATGACTGATGGACTGTAGCGGACAATGACGACGAAGGCGAAAGATAGTTCGAATTGTTTGATAAAGTGGGCAACGAATGGTTGCTTCGAGAACTGAATTTCAATTTGGCAGCACAAATGAGTTTATACAAAGTCTCTTCCACTTCGGAATAGAATGGGAACGACCCGGAAATCAGCAGGTGGAACATCACACCAAGACTCCAAATGTCGCATAGGTGACTATAGCCAGTCTTTTTGACAACCTCTGGCGCCATGTAAAGAGGCGTTCCCACCCACGTGTCAATCATTGAGTCGTAGCCGTCTTTGATGACACTTAGTCCAAAGTCGATCAATTTGACGTCGAAGTCCAGAACTTGCTCCTCTTTTTTGGACTCCGCCGGGTCGCTGTTAATATCCGCAATATCTGCACTTTCAGAAGTTGTCAACTTTGCATGTTTCTGGGACGAATCTTTCTTATTTTGACTACTTTTGAGGCTGTTGTATGAAATACATAAAACGTTTTCTAACTTTAAATCTCTGTGGATGATACCGTCTTTGTGCAGGTAATACACAGCGTCCGCCAATTTACGCAAGAGTTCTTGCACTTGCGGTTCTGTGAAACGTCCATTTTTCTGTAATTTAAGTTGTTTTTTAAGATCGCCTTTGTCGCAGTAGTCTAGCACCAAATACATCGACCGAGGAGTCTCGAATATGTTGAGAAGACAAATAATGTTGGGATGTTGAACTCTTTTCAAAATGTCCACCTCTCTTTGAAGTAATCTCAGCCCAACAGTTCCCGCTTTTTCCTTGCTTACTTTTTTGACCGCAAACTTGTTTCCAGTTTCGACTTCATGAGCTAAACAGACAGTTCCAAACGTGCCTTTTCCGAGAACCACCGCTGACTTGCCAGGGCTATCTGATTGGACGACGAACTTTTCTTCCATTGAGGATGAGTCATCAATACGCACGTGGGGGATGTTTGGGGACTTTGATCGTACGTTGCTATTGTTGAGGTTGTTATTGTTGCTCGAACTGAGTGCCGTATGTCCCGAAGCGGAATGAGGAGGGGAGAGATTCGGGCCCGACATCACTTGATGGAGATCTACGAAACAATAAGAGGCGAAAAGTAACGTAAGTAAAACTGTGATCCAGAACAGTATTTTAAGAGGAATGATAAACACAAAGTCTCAGGGTTTAAATATAATTTTCATAAATAAAAAATCTGATTAAAGATCAGCTTTCTTTTGAAGACTTTGATAGTTCTAATGTCTTTGATGACTGAAAGTTGGCTTAAAATTTTTTTCAGGGTAGTGAAAAAAAAACAGACGCACAGTGCTATTGACTTGAATATTGCTTGACAATGGTAATCAAAATTCAATATTTTAGCCGTGAAGACAAATTTGTTCAGATGGCAGACAAGTAAATCCAAGCTAACACCGCAAATTAAAATTTAATCCCCAATAGTTAAGCAAACAAAATAGTGTAACAAAAAAGGTTCTTTTTTGGACTACTTTGCTTGAAGCTTAGAGCCCTTTTGTTTCAAAATTTTTCTGGGAAAAATATCAATGGTTATTATTTGGTAAATTTTGACTTTCAGGTCAACATTTGTCAATAAAACAGGTGATGATAATCTGCATTAGACAATAATGAAAAATAAAGCGCAGTCTTTTCAAAAATCGTGACAGGCAGAATTGAATCTGGCTCCAAAATTCTCCTCAAAAACAAGTTGCTCTTAGGTGAGTTGACAGCATTGGAATTTAAGCCTGAGGAAAACTCAGCACGCCTCTTTCAAACAGATTGACCGCGTGGCTAAACGGTGAAGAACCTCCTCAATAAAAATAAAAGGGGAGATTGATTTTAACACGGTACTTAATTTTTTCTTTTTTGATGTTTTTACCGCTCCTGATTTTTGGTCGGAGTGGAAATTTGACCTCAGCAGAGGATCGATCAGTTTTTATGATTTAATTACGTAACATAAAAGTGAACGATAATTTTTGGGTGAGAAATATCGCTGTTGGTCAGTTGTGAAAGTATGGAATATGTATATTATATGACTCGAACCATTAACAATTAAACTCCAAAATGATGCAAAAACGCAAATAACAAGTAAAATGGATCAAAATGTAGCGTGTACTTGGTATCTTGGCTCTTTTCGTTGGTAAAACAGTGCTAGTAGCTTGTGCACTTAAACATTTGCGTGTTTTTGGCTCTGCGTTATTGTAAGGAACATCAGCGCTTATTTGTCAAATTTACCTGCTATGATAGAACGATGAAAGAATTGGAGTCTAAAAGCGATTCAATTATAATATTTATAAAACGAAGACACGCTTTTTACATGCAGATTGCTTTAATGGTATTTAAGCTTCGCTCATAACCTTTGGTCAGTGCAGTTGACGATAAAACATCTAAAAGCACTCTTACCAAAATCAGCTGCTCAATTTTTGGTATTTTAAATGTAATACCATCAGTTTTGCCGGCGAACGTATAAATAATATGAGAGCACAAGACGAAAAACAATGCCGCTGTTTTGTCTTTTGATTGTTTTTTTGCTCTCTGTGTGTGCATGTGAAGAAAAAATTAGCAGCAATTACCAAAAAATCAAAACAGACAAGTCATCTGAGTCGAAAAATGTGAACATTCGTGAAAAAAATGGAATTCACGTTTTCACTCACACGCACTTGAATAATGATCGAGAATATTCATATACTTCAGTCACTCAGGCAAGCTCCCATCAAATTAAGCAAATCTGGCGTATACTTTTATCAAGTCAGTTTTTGACAGCTTTTTATAGAAACGACACTTACATATAAAATGTCTAAAACCATGACAGTTAAAAACAGTAGACAAAAAATGTCTATAACCATGACAGTTAAAAATAGTTGCTTATAACATCATATTGCCACAAACATTTCATCCGATACTTTTTGAGTTCTGACAACATTTTCAATGACTGAGTGTGGGAAATATAACAAACAAGAACATTATATTTAGTGTGACGTTCACATATCAACAATTGTTTGAAAAATAACCGCATTTTTTGAACAAATTTTTGAGATTTAATTCAGAACGGATCCATTGATTGGGATCCATTGTTTGGATCTTTTGACGGATCCAAATTCAAGTCTGTAGCAGAAAAAAACGAGAGCCTGAAAGAATCTTCAGGACTATTTCGAGTGAGTTAGGTTCGAGGTGTAACTCATAGATGAATTTCGGATAGGGTACACCGTCTGCTCGTCACGCTATCTTATTTTCGGCCGGATAGTTTCGTGCAACTTCTTAGTCTAATACCGATCCTAATCTTACTCTTATATCTACTAGTCTCAGGGTGTTTAACTAGTCTCTGCTAGGCTCAATAGATCTAGAGTATACTGGCTTATTGCGATTGCTAAAGTTCTCTTGGAGAGTAAATAATTTCTAAGTTAAATTCAAATCTCTCTGGTGCTGAATTTACAAGTAATTTCAGCACTTACAAATAAGTGGTTTGTTAGTTAGATGGATCGTGATTGGTTAATATTAATTATTTTATAGAGATAAAATATCCAATTTATAACCAATAATAAATATAGTTTATATCTGGTTCCACCCATCCGGGGTTTACAGAGTTTTGAATCTTAGATCTTCTATCTGTAATGAAGGATGGATGATGGTCGTTGTTATTTGGCGAGCATCATTTCCTGTTTCGTTCTTGAAGAAGAAAGCTCCAGGAAGCTGGAGTCATCGATAGGAAGTTGTTAGTCATCGTTTGACAAAGACTTTGACTGTCAAAGAAATCAATCTGATTTCAAGATGGTTTGCTATGATCGTCTGTTCTTGATTGGTTGTGGAGAACTGTGTTTCGATCTGGTTTGGGAATGGCATGAAGATCGTGTTTGGAGGGGATGCCTTGTAACTCGGATCTGTACGTATACTTGAACATCGAGATGGTCATTGGTCTGATTCAATGAAGTCCTTTTCTGCGAAGTCAAGTCGTACTCTAAATCCTTTATGAGTCGTGGTTGTGAGCGGCATGTCAGTTGTATTTAGCCATTCTGTAGGTTGGGTGTGATGGGGTTGTCTAGTCTTTGGATGCTCGTTTTTGTAGTTAATCGTGATCTATGTACTGCATATTATAATTTACATTTTATAAATTTTTGTTAATTCTATTTTTTAGTTATGATTTTGATGATTTAATTTCGCAAAAGCGTTTTAGTTTTAGTTCAGTTATTTTTAAGAGTTACTCACACTTGAGTACCTCTTGTCAAAAATAGTGATGTGGTCACAAAGCGTGGATGTAGCACGGTGGGTTAGGCCGGCTATAGAGCATGCAGGACGTCCTCTCTGGTGGGTTAGGCCAGGAAGGGTAGTATAATTTCGTGCTGGTTTTTTAAGGGGTCCTGTTTTGTGTTAACATTTTTGTTAAATTGATTTTTGTTTTCCTTTTGTTTCGTTGATTTTATCCTTTTCTCAAAAATCAAATTGTTTTTGGTTTGGGTTTGTCTTGCGACTTTTTGGTGTTTTATTGTTTCTTTTTTTGACCTGGTAATAGTCTTCAAAAGAAAAAATTATCCAGTTTTAAGCTGGTTTAATCCGGTTAGGGTACCGTGGGTTTTCTTTTCTTAGTCATGCTGTTAGTTTATGGTTTCTGATGTTTAGTAAGCTGCGTTGGTTAGTTTGGTTATTATATAATTCCATTCCAACCGGGTTAAAGGAAAAGTGGAAACTTGTTATTGCTTGTTTGAGTGGTTGTTAGTGCAAACTTAAAACTTGATTTCATTATTTTAAACAATTCTTCGTTGGCGAGCTGTGCGATTGTGGATAGAATTTCTGTGCGTTTGAACAGAAGTTATAGAAAAGGTTAGTAATGCATTTAATTGTATGAATTTACTGCTTTTAAGACTAAATTTTACTGCTTTTGATATTGAAAAGTATAAATTGATTTTCATCGTATTTAAATTTACTACATTTGGGGAAATAATTTAGAAATGAATTTTCCACTTTGAATTACTTTTTACTGCATCATTCAGTGCTTTTGCTTTAAAAGAGTTTAATATGGAAAATAGAGTTTATATTTTTATTTGTCTTTTCTTGTTTTGAAGGGTGATCGTGGTGTGAAGACTAAAGAAAATGCAAATTACTGAATAAAATGGTTAGTTTTATTTTGAATTAGTTAGTTTGAAAATTATTAAATTCATAGTTACTTTTAGTCGTCGGGGAAAAAGCCGTGAGGGAAAACATTGTGAATAGCGTCTGATGTAGTTAGTAATTTTGCTAGTATGCGTATTATATTTTAAGTTAGCAGCAGTGGCCAAAACAATTGCAGTGCACTTATGGTTTTTAGTTATTCGGTGCCTACTGCAAACTCATGAGGTGTGTTTTGGATTAGATTGTAAAATTTGTGATTGTATTTAGTGTTGTGGATGAATTCTAAAATGGGTACCTCTATGGGTTGAATATATTCATGCGGAATTATCAGGGGTCGGGATTTTTCGTCGATGAAGGTCTTCCTGAAGGGACAAAATGTATACATTTGAGTGACTGGATCATAATTCCGGAGGATGCCTTGGAAGTTAGTATTTTTAATGCAAAACGCGAAGTTTAGAAAAAATGATGAACTGTATTTGGAATTATTGATTTTAAATCTGTGGTGAGGTTGTCGTGATGGTGTGTGTAAATGAAAATGGTTTTGAAAAAAAACGATAATAAGTATAAGTATGTGTTTGCTTAGTTCTCAACATGATGTCGTGTGAGCAGTGCAAATCGCGTTCTTTTGGTGTCAAGAAGTGAAAGGTTTGTGAAAATGTTTCAAATTTTTCGTGAAAAGGTTCATACGCTTGAATGTCTGATAGTGCTTCTGAAATGATGTGATCATGCTTTTTATCTATTGAACTGAGTGTAAAGATGTAAGGCGTTTGGATGAAAAAGTTTTCGATTAGTTGCGGGTTGGCAAACTTGTCGTCCTTGAGGAATTGATTGAGTCGGATGATATTATGGTCATAGTGCACGATGGAATATTCGTTAGCTCGGGTGCGGTGAATGTTTTTAGTAATTTTTTATATCCTACGTATGTAAATTGTATTGTCGGGGAGTGAGTGCTGTGGTTAATCTGAATAATTCGTCCTTATTTCTTTCAATATCGATAGTGGTGTTATAGAGTGGTAGCGTAAGGGGGTTAGTGAAATTATAATAAGCTGTCCAATGAAGTGTGGGTATTAATACATGTTCATCTACAAAGTGATGTGGTTCAGGGTTAGGGTCGGATTGATTTAGTGTATATTGGGGAAATAAAGGTAGGGTTATTTGAAGAAATTTTGTAGTATTGGTATGGTCTGGATGGTTGATATATTCTCGGGCGGTTCCGGGTTTGGATGGGAATGGGTGATTTGGGAATTTACGTTTAAAAGTTCTATAAGCACGGTTAGTACTATTGGATGATTCTGTTGAAGTGGATGAATGAGCTAATGATGGAGTATAATCTGAAATTGGTGTAGGTGTTGGCGGATTTGATGATTTTATTGTTGATGATAATTGGTGAATAGTTAGGGTGTGGGGAGATAACAATTGTTGTTGGAGCGTTATAAAAATAAATAGTTCTTCGGAAATTTGAATATTATCTGGGGAGTTGTTGGTGGAGCGTTCATTATTGAATGGGGAGTAGGTTGGGGTTACTTGAGAAGGAGTGTAGCGAGATGTATGTTGTCTTTGAGTTTGGATAGGTCAGAAAGGGGGTTTTGAGAAGATTGTTGAGCTAGTCGGGGTATGAGTAGAAGGGGATGGTTCGGAATCTGCGAACTCATCGGGAGTTTTGATATCAGAATTATTGAATTGTGAAATAGTTGTATAAATTGTGATATCTGAGTTAGTGTCAGAATTCATGCCTGATGATGTATAAGCTTGTGGTGAATCAGGTGGCGGAAAAGCAAAAAGTGGGATAATAGGGAGTGAATTTTGGAGGTTGGCAGGGTGGGACTTTGATCGGTGGAGTGATCCAATTTGTCTGCTCATCGTTGGCCAAAAAAAATGATTATTTTGAGACTGAAAAGTGGTGGTATGGGGCTGTTCAATGATTTGTTCGTATGTGTCGTCAATTGGCTGGCGTTGTGTCACTATATGTTGGATGGGGCTTTGTATGTGGCTGGGTTCTAATGTGATGTTTTATATTGGATTTAGAATATGTACCTATCGATTGTATATCGATATTTGGATTGCGGGCTATAGCTCGAATGCTTTAAGGTGAAAACTTTTTTAATGGTGGAATTAATGTTGGGTATTGTGTTAGTAGATAGTATTTATCTTCGTCGGGATTTAATTGTACAACGTTGTGGCTGTTTTCTGATCCACATGTT